ATACTTAAGGGAACAATTCTCATCAGCAAATGCATGCACTGAAGGACTTGAAACTTCCTGGGGAAGTTGGAAGGCCCTGGTGTTTGAGTGATGAGGTTAACAGGGGCTCCACACTCTGGAGCTTCCCCTCGAGTTGTTATTAGGCACAGATCCTAAAATACACCTTTAGGATCTCATCTTATGTTTTGTCCTAAACATTTTTGCCTCTTCATGAAAAACAATGTCATGGTTCCTCATGGCTTCCAGTCACCCGGGGACATAGTTTTGGTCCAAATACCTGCATTTCCTGATATTAAATATATTTCAACAGAGCCACTTTGCACAGTCACAACAGAAACATTATAACTCCCACAAACCCAAGTGATTTTTTTTTTAAAATGCTCTTTCTTTGACATGTGACCATGAATAAAGTATGGTAAACAGCATCGGTATTGCAGAAGGTCTATGATTTTCAGGGGCAGAACAAAGGTATTATTCCAAAACTACTATTGAATTCAGCAAACCAAGGTATTTTTAATACATGTGGAATTAAACCAAGAGCTAAAAGGTTACTGTGCACCCCTGTTACTGTTCCTTGTGAGATATTCATGTCATAAGGGACCAAGCATGATGAGCAAAATACATTTAACTCCTTAAGAAAAAAAAAAACTTGTAATTTTTTTAATTAAAGAATATTACTTATGTTCCACCATTTATATGAATTTTGCACAGCTGTTTGCACTAATATGCGTTAAAATGGGTAATTACCACAGCAATCATGGTATGATACAACACTCTTGCTCTATTTTAAATATATAGCCCTGCTTTTATCTTTCTTGTACCCACAGACACACCTGGTTTTCTGCTGTTTTGCTTGTTTATTTGTTCCTTTCTACTAGTTGGTGCCAACAAATACTTCAGACACTGAATATTTGACACATTTCTGGGTCTTGTGTTAACAGCTTCTGGGCTATGTTTTTGTTTCCCTGTTTTAATGGTTAGGAGAAGCAAGAGCCAAACAGAATAGTGATGTTTATGATGAGAGGGGAGATGAAGGGGTCGAGGAAAGCTGGGAATAGCTGAAGTGTGTCTGACACAGCAGTTTCTCTTCTGTATCACTATTTTATTTTTATGAGGCTGCAGCAAATTGATAGCTTCTGATACCATAGTCAATAAAACGTTGTGTAAATTCCAGCGATGGGCTGGAAAAAGATTGAATTAAAAGGGAGGTATTGGGTCACATCCATATTTCAAGTCATTTCTGTGCTGCCTTATCCCAGTACCTGGGGGAAGCAGTTTCTTCACAACTAACCACCCAATTAGTACCTGCTGAGCACCCGATGCTTGATTTTCTTCTAACTGCCCCCTCTTTCTATGCCAACCAATTTCCTAACAGTTTCCATTTCACCCTGTAGCAGAACTTTTTTCAGAAAGTTTGGACAAGTCACAAAAGGTGAATTTAGAAACAAAATTATTCTGAAACCTTCTCAATCCTGGAAAATGTTCTTTTGTAAACATGGTGTGGTAGTCTGTTTAGCCGAAATTATTGCTACAGTTGTATTATTGTTTCTATCAGGAAGAAGTTTTCTGTAGGATCACGGGATAGGTGAGAAGGGTCACAGGTCAGAAGGGACCTCAGCAGGTCTCTTGTCCAACCTTCTTCTTCAGCCAAGCTCAGCCACGAGCTCAGATCAGGCGCTTGGGGATTTCTCTGGTCAGGTCTTGTAAAGCTCCAAGTGTGGAGACTGCCCAACCTCCCTGGGCAGCCTGTGCCACTGCCTCACTGTGTTCCCAGGGAAATTTTTTACCTTATATCAGCATCTCTTACTTTCTACTTGTGCCTCTTACCTCTCATTTTCTCACCATGCACCATTATAAAGAGACCAGCTCCGTTTTCTTGATGACTTCCCCATAGGTACTGAAGGGCTGCAGTTAGCTGCCCCTGAAGCTGTCTCATCTCCAGGCTGAACAAGCCCTGCTCCCACAGCCTCTCCTCAAAGGGCAAGTGCTCCAGCCCTAGCTACCCTGGTGGCCTCTGCTAAACTTGCTGCAGTTTGATGATGTCTTTCCTGTACCAGAGGGCCCGGTATCAGGGAACAGGCAAGTATAGGGTGCACGTTTTCACCAGTGTATGAAAAAGCTGACAAATTTCAAGGACGACAAGCACTTGTGTAGCACCGTGACCTGCTGCACAGCTGAGCAGCTGCTGTTTTACTGCTTTGGGCCAGGAGGGAGAAGAGCAGCAGTGCTCTATGATGCCATGATCACTTTTCCCTCACCTTGGCAGAGGTTTGCTGCTTCCTTAGTCTACCCCATTACCGAGAGCTCTGGCCATCTTGCCCACAGATACCATTAGTTTCACTAATCTAAACCATCCATTGCCACTGCGCAGAGACCAAGGAGATCTCCATCGTACTACTTCAGCAGTGTCTGTACTGGTAATTAAATCAGAGCCAGGGTTCTGGCTCAAGCACTACCCACTCCTGTCCTCACTGTTTCAACGCTCTCTGCCATGAGGGCTACGCCAGCGAGTGCTCTCCCAGGCAGTCCCCCAGCATAGCTGAAGGGTTGTCATGAGCCAGAGGCCATTCCTGGGTACAGCCATGCTGTCCTGGATGGACAAGAGAGCGGAGAGAGTCCAGGTGTGTGGATGCAAGCTGTGCCATGCCACGTGGCTGTGAGACTGGAGAACAGCCCATGGCCTGTTTTGTTCAGAATACAGATTTTGCATTCATCCTGAGTCCTAGCAGCCTTCTTCGTGTTGTCCCACACAAGCTTTCTTTGGCCTCTTACTGCAATAAACCAACCCTACCCCTTACTTGCATCAAGTTCAGCTGTAAAAAATGTGACCAGAGCAAATAATATAGAGTTGAGATTCAGGTGAACAGGATAGCTATTACATGGCGCTGTCAAACACTCTGGGGCCATTCACCACCTCAAGTCTAACCTCTGCCGTCTCTAAGATCTCTACAGTCTCTAACAACCTCTAGTTAGAGGATCGCTCCTGCCTGCTTACAGGAGATTTGGCAGAACAGGAAATTTTCTAGATCACAAAGACACTCTCCTGCATCCTCAGCTGGCCTGAGTGATAAATTGATGAGCTGGCCATGGGTGATGAGTTTTTTGTTTTTTTTTTCTCCAAATAATGTAGAAATGAATACACCCAATTTACAAAAAAAAAACCCACCCAAAAAAAAGCCACCCAAAAACCCAACCCCACATCTTCACCCTTGAGGATTGTACTGGAGAATTCCAGAGGTGATGTTTTCTGCCATCTACCTGACCACACTGTAAACCTACTACCGCTGCCTGTCTTTTTGTACTTTTGTAAGGCAAAGAAGAACAACAAAAATCTTAGAAGGACTAAGATGGGGCTCTGTGGACTGTCTCTGCATTTGGGTTTATTCAATTCTATATGATTTGGAGAAAAAAAAATTGCATCCTTCAGCTGATTTAGAAAAAGCCTTAGTGTTCATAATTACATTAATTTGATAGACTACTAGAGTGAAATATATTTATAACTTCCCCTGCAAGTGATGGTGCTCATAATACTAAAATGCAGTTTACACTTTATACAGCACCTTTTATGGAGAAGGACTCCAAAGTGTTTATAAACACAAAGAAACAGAAACAAATACGACTCTGCTTACCATTGAAATGAAACCCGGAGCCAGAGGTAAGTATGCAGCAATGCACAACAGAAGAGGACTTTCTGACGAACATAAAGAAAAATTTTGCACCTACCACAAACTGCAAGGGGAATTTAGCTAAGCAAAATGAAATTCCCTAACTCAGCATCTGGAAAGGACATCCTGCTTATGTACTTTTCCTCCTGGAAAAATGTCTCATTTCTGGCTCTTCGCACTCAGCCTTTTAGACCATGCTGACTCACCATGAGCAGTGGAACTTGGAGGAGGTAATACGGGTGAAACCAATGGGATTCAATAGAAATTACTCTGAATAACAGATGAGATTTACTAGAGAATTATTTAAATTCTGGAGAACTGAAAAGCTAACCTATTGAACCAAGCAGCATTTATATCACACACTTCTTCTAGTACGACATAGGGCGACGTAAACGCCCTGTGGAAAGAGGCATGACTATGTCAGATTTTTCCAGAAGAGCAGCATTAAGAAACCCATACATAACTACCTCAACACTCATTACGATGCCACTGCTAACACCTTCATGATCCTGTCCTCACCAGCGATCATTACCACTGCTCACACCACTCCACGCTGCACTGCTGGGAACGCTGGGAGCGTGTCTGACACACTGGGAAGGGTCCTTGCAGGCAGGCAGGCGGCCTGGGGAATATCCCAGGCATCACAGCAGCATTCGTTATGGCAAAGGTTTAAATGGCAACTAGAGTGGAGGCGCTGCTGTACCCCGTATGCTGCAATGCCATGGCTGGTGTTGAGCAAGGAACCCACCGTGAAATATTTGAAATACGTCTGTAACAAGCCAAACTGTAACCGCTGTGTAATCATTCTTAAGAGCTAAGCAATTTTTAAAATAACAGCTATGAGTAGCATTTATGATTCTTTTACTAATGCATGTTTAGTAATTAGTCTTTGCAATTAATGTGATATTTACTGAATTGCTAACATTTCATCTTTTTAATTAAACACCTCTTTAACCAAAGCAAGGTGTATTCCAACGTATCCAAATGAAGCACGTAGCACTGTGTAACTCATCAAAAAAGGTGGATGTTTATTAGTGAACTCAGGTATCTAAACCTGTCAGACTGCTTGCTTTTGCATCTTGTGTGGATGCTGTGCCTCTATTGCCAAGAAAAAGGCAAGTATAAAGGACATCAGAATAAAAGCAGAAAGAGTGATGGTGAGAGAAGAAGATATGTTAACAGAATTCTCCAAGAGATTCTCCTCCTTGCCTCAATTATATCCACCAAAGTAATTCACAAACAGACGTCATGTCAGACAGACAGAGTATTTTGTATTACAATTTAATACATTATTTATTGTTTGTTTAAAAGTGAGGGGCCTAACTTCCATATTACCTGGCCTTTTGCATTCACACCTTCAATGTCACATTCGCATAGTTTTGTATGTTGTAATAGGGAATACCTGTTTTCTTTCTCCATTTTGTCCCTCTTTTCTCAAGCTTCTCTCCTTTCCCATGGGGAGATGTTAGCTCAGCAGCAGGCTGTGGAAAGCCAAGGTGGCACGCTGCTGAGGGAGCTCGAAGCAGCAGTCATATCCATCTTGGATGCCATGGATAAAAGCAAGATAGCAAGTGTCAAGAGGGGACAGGACATCATCTCAGCAAGCTGGGCAGGGGACGTGCCCATGAGGTTGGCATTGCTGCTGAGCGGATTGGCTGGACGGGCAGACACCACAAGGGCTGGCACCCTCAGTGCCACTGGGGGCAGCCGTGTAGGGGGACAGTGGTGGGACTCTTGTCGCACTTGGTGGCCCCCATGGCATTTGTCCCTCCTGTTGGTCTTGTGCGGCGATTGTGTTGGGAATGTAGAGCCCTGTAGACCACCTGGTGAGCTGCCAGGTCTCCACCAAGAAGTGAAGAGTCAGGACATGCCCTGCACGGCTTCTGGCTATGTGTGTGTGTCTCCCAGCAGTGGGTCCCATGGGGACTCCAGCTGTGTGCCATGACTTGTGGGAAGAGGCTGGCAGAGATGCTGGCAGACCTTGTCCCCGCCGGCAGCCAGCCCATGGAAAGACATGGGCTCTCCCAAGCCCTGTGCAACACGATTTGTTGTTTTCCTCTTTCAGCCTTGTAAGTATGTGAAGGGCCTTTGCCTGTGGTTCTTCTGAGCCCAGAGAGAAACCCAAGGAGCTGCAGCCTCCAAGTAGCACCTGAGACTTAGGAGCACAAAGTCATACACGACCAGACTGAGAGCATTTTCTGCTGAGATGGTACACAAGCAAACATGGTATTTATTTGGTATTTTACATGGGTGGGTCGACTTGGCACGGCAGAATTTTCCTCCTGTCTGCCAGCGATCAAGCTCAGCTTACCTTTCCCTGGGGAAAAGGAAAGCCCCTGGGTCCCTGTGGGGCAGGGAAGAGCCACAGAGAAATGGCAGTTTGCTCTTTTCTCCCTCTCCCCTCAGCTTTTTTTTCCTGCAGCAAGTTAATAAGGGGAGCAGATGATCAGCATAGGATGGTTTCCAGGCTAATTGTCAGGAAAGCAAAGAGCTCAGCCCAAGCTCCACTACACCGGGTCCTGCTGCCACCATCAGCACTGCCCAAAGAAGAGGGCAGTAGCTAGTCTTACTAATACCTTAACCTCAGTCGTATCCTTCACCCCATTCATAGCAAAGGGGCTGTGGCATCGGTGCCAGGTAGGAATGTCCTGGAACTACAGGAGAGGAGGAAAGGTGCTTTTGCAGCATGATGCTGCTGTGCAACGGGGGTGCCAAGAGACAAATAGCATAGGCTGTTCATGTGCTCTCTGAAGCTCACCGCAGGCACAGGCACACACATCTCGGTGCACAGACAGAGATACGCCCTGAAACTCAGGAAAATGCGCATTGTCTTTTTCCTGGTGCCCTTGGCTGGCTGGGAGCTGAGGTTGGGGAGAGCAAGGCAGCTCCCCAGTGAAAGAGCCCCTGCAGCTGCCTGTCCTTAATATGGAGAAAACAACACTGACCACGTGCTCTCCCCACCCAAATTCTTCACTGGGGGGCTTAGGGGAGACTTGGCTCCCTGCCGCATACTGTGGTGTCGTCCCTGCCTGTTGGCAAGGGTTCAGCCTGCATTTGAAGCTGGAGAAGCGAAAAGCAGCAGAAGCACAAGTTCTTGTAACTTCTCTTGTGTGTGCTGGTGGATACCTCCAGCGCGTCAAACCTCTGAGTTGGATCCTAAGCCCTGAATAAGTCAGCCTTTTAGACTATCTGTTCTTTGGCCTTTCCAATGATTTTGCAATCCGAGGGTGAGCATTTCTGAGGAGCCACTGAGCCTTCTCCAAGGATAATCAGGGTCGCTCTCAGGTGCATCCCTTCTGTTCTCCAGGATTTTATTTTTCCCTGTGGCATGTAAGAGTGACTCTTACATCCTTATGCTGGGAGCAAGGAATCTGCATCTCATCTAACCTTGGAACTATTTGTAGCGTCTTCTACAAAATTATTAATTGGACAAATTTCACCAGTATTAAGAACGTAGGATTCGCAGGAAATTCAAAATTTATGATCAGATTTTAAAAAAGCATAACGAATAGACAGTTAGTGCAATTTTGTTATAGAATTTTATTCTTTATTCAAACTGCAATACAATGGTTTTTAATAATTTCTGACAGGAATTTTCCTAGTCTCAATACTTTTTAATCAACACCCATGGAATGGGCAAAATAACACATATTTCAAAAACATTCCCTGAAGTCATCCACTTTCAAGTGTTAATTTGAGGTCATAACCCAATATTATTTGTGTCTTACTTAAATCAGTCTTTAATAACATATTTATTTTCCAAAATTTTGAAAGTAATCTGCAGTTATTATGGAGGAATATTGAGTATCCCTAGTAGATGATCTTTATAGAAATTATTTCAAGGGTGAAAACACTTTGTGAGTTTTCTTACATACACTGTCCTGCTGATGATCATCCGGTCTGTCAAAACACCCTTTGTCTGTCACAGTATCAGTACCATGAACATTTTGGTGTAGCCATAAACCAGTTACTGGTTTTTAAAGTTACTCAATGTCAGCAATGACTTTTCAGCACTTTGGCTTTGAAGGGCTACCTATGACCTGAGGTAACTGAAGTCCAGGACTTCAGGACTTTAGAGGATTAGAGGATTTTTATGCAACAACGTGATTACTACTGTAATCCTGAGTCTCCAAACCTATAAGTACGTGCTCAGATGTAAGTCCACAAGTATCATCGTCTTTAATGGGACCATTTGTGTGCCTAAAAATCAATCATGTATACACATGAAGAATTGGAATCACAATAACAGAAAACAGATGCAATGATTAATTACTCAATTGAAAGTTTTTCATAAATAGTGTGTCTGACAACTCTATAAATCCATTGAAATCTGTGTTAACAATAAATGATCAAAGCCTAATACTAAGAGTGTAGCCTAATTGGTAGGACAGAAAGTGATAAATTCAATAGGTATTAATGAAGACTACACTTAGACATTGGGAAAACCTTTCTGGAAACAAGAGCAGTGAAGTGTAGTCACAAATTGTGCAGGGAAATTATGGAGTTGCCAGCACTGGGGAATTGTAAAGAAGAGGTCAGGCAAATTTTCCAGGTTTTTTTCTGGTTTCACTCCTCCATCCTGTGGGAGAGAAGCAGACAAGGTGATCTCTGGAGCTCTTCTACCTGGCAGGCTGGTGAGTGATTAATATGGCATCCTTGTATGCTTTTACATTAATTAGTCCTGGATCAGTTTAGGAGCAGATCCCCAGATTGTCAAGGTCAGATGTGAAGCAGGCAAAGCACACAGCTGCACTCCTATAGATCTGGTCTGAAAGCACAACACAATGTTTATACCAGCTTTGTGCAGGAAAACAGGCAATGTCTAATCCAGTATAAAATTAGAGCAGTATGTAAGCACCTGATACATCATGATCTAGGTTAAGTTGAATTTGTGAACGAATTTGAAGCAACTGAATGAACTTGTGCTGGCTCAGTGTCTTGTGTTATGGTGGGTGTGATGCAGTTCCAAATACTTTAGAACCAGATATGAAACTGTGTCTTCAGGATAAACAAACACCATAACACGTTGGAGAAGTGAAATATCTCTCAGTCTTTTGACAATGATTCCTTATAACGTGCCAGGGACAGCATGAGAAGCTACTTGGCACCATTTTGTCCCAAGAAGGGCTACTCTGAGAATGAGCTGTAGAACGGTTTCTATACCTTGGAGACTATTTTCTCTGAACATATTAGCTGATCTAAGATCTAATTGATGGACTAATTTCTTTGAATAATTATCACTACAACAATACCACTGCCAGAATGACAGACCTTCCACCGAGAATACCCTGCCTCCAAATGCTGCAACTCTCTCCTGAGTCCCACCAAGAGACATGGCCATTGCAAACAGGAGTCGGTGGTAAAGGTAGGACAAGAACTTAATTATCGATACTATGACACTTCAAACCATGCAAATATTTTCAAGAAGAAAGGTCAAACTGATTGGAAGCCACACAGAATAGCCTTGAGGGCAGGCCTTGATCAACAGGAGGGGCTCTGCATGATGTGTTGGTTGTGAGCTGTGGTGCTGTATTTGGACTGCATCAGTTATTGTCATGGGTCTGTCTTGGGCAAGCATGGGCTAGTTGTCTGGAAACCTTGGACCGCCTGTATACTAAAAAAGGATGAGGAACTCAGTATGTAGACCACATGCCTCTCACACTACTGGTAGAATCCTTATAAAATATAGGATAAGCTTTATGACTAGCTCCTTGGAAATTGTTGCTTTGTTGTACAGTATAGTTAATTCTTACCTCAATTCAGCTTTCTCAGAACTGCTTTTCTGGTTCACTCAGAACTTGTGGGTAGAAGATTATTAGACCTTGATCTAGTGGAGTGGGGAGTTGGACATCATCAACACATGGATAACACCAGAGCCTCCATTGCCTCCAGTGGCATCCTACAGAGCAGATGTAGTCTGGAGAGGATTGATATAATGAAACTATGCAGGTCAGGCACATGGAGAAGAGGAGCAGGTTCCTGATGACCGCAGCCACACTGCAGCAATTGTGTCTCTGCCTGCTGACCCCAGTGGGAGTGTGGGAGCGGGACAAGGTGCCCAGCAGCACTAATACGTTGAAGGACATCTCCCTAGTGCCACAAGGATGCACTTCAGTCACATTTACCCACCTTTGTTGTGCGTGGTACTCACATAAAGCTGGAATGGCATCACTCTTGCTTTCTCCTTGACTTTAATAGAAATATGAGTCCAAGCAGGAGGCTACCTGTGAGTACACCTTTTCTACAAGTATAGGGAGAATGAGAGGGGCTGTGCAGTCTTTTGCTTGTGTTGTGATATTTATCCAGTATATATACAGATGTTTTCCAGATGCTTTTACCAGAAGAGTACGTCTAGTCTGTGAGGCAGAGACCCCCAAACTGCCTATAGCCAACAGTAGTGCAAAGCTCTGAGCACTTTG